CTACTATACTACTATACTACTATACTACTACTACTACTACTACTACTACTACTACTACTACTACTACTACTACTACTACTACTACTACTACTACTACTACTACTACTACTACTACTACTACTACTACTACTACTACTACTACTACTACTACTACTACTACTACTACTACTACTACTCCTACCCGTGAGGCTGTTTACAACGACGTTGAGAGTGTTTTTGGCGGTCCTCGGCCGATTGTTTTGGGAGCTCTTTTGCGTCATCCAGATAACACGATATCCTCCTCCTCCTCCTCCTGAGGGATCCTTCGAATTCCCTGAAGCATCTGCAGGCATTCACAAGGATTGCAAGACATCCCGAAGGAATCCGTAGGTCGACTGCAGATCCGACCCAGAACGAAGACAATGCCGTAGGGCCGCCGTGGGCTTCGGACCACTAGATCACCAAAAAGGCTTGAGGAATTCAATGGTAGCCTGCCGCGCTTGTAGCCCACTGAGCAAACAACAACTGGAACGCACTCTCGCATCCCAAAGCCGTACTGCCGAGGAGGCCTGTGAACTACCCCACCCCCGAAAAGGGAAGATGACTAGGAGCAGGAGGAGGACGACGACGACGACCAGGACCAGCACCAGGACCAAAAGCAGAACCAGGACATCTGAAATGCCCGCACCCCCACAGCCCGCGCAGCCCCGCGTGCGTTTCGCGCGCACCTCCAGCACGGCGCATTTCTCAGGTGCCGGTGGCCTCCTGAACTGCTGTCCGAAGTCGACGCGGCCATCGAGAACACCGCGCTCGCATCGACGCAGCAGTAGTTAGCTGTCGCGCTCCGCCCCTCAAGCACCGCCCCGCCCACACATAACACACCGCCCCACCCGGCAAGAACCGCTCCACCGTGTGGTGGCAACGCTCATACTGCATGTGGACCAAGCGCTTCATAATCACCTGGTGTCGCGACGAGTGCGGGGGTGGAGCTGAGCTCATCGGATCGGCGAGGACTTGACTCCAATGGCGACGCCTCCAGTGCTGCCCCTGGCGACGCCTCCGGCGCGCGGAGTCCAGCGCCGATCCAGAATATCCGTGCGGACCTCCAAATATCTATGCTTGAGGCACTTCCCTCCCTCGATTTTAGCATGGGGGAAGCGGGTCCTGAGGGAAACGGGTCCTGGACCTTAGGACGAGCTCTTCATCCCGAATCGTTTCCTGACGGTCCTGGGGCCCGTGGAGGGCCCCAGCGAAAAACCCTAGGACCCGTGTCCCTCAGGACCCCCTTCCCCATGGATCGGGGATTTGCTGACCTGGGTCGATCCAGACCCGGGTCAGTCAGGCCTTGCAGGATCCTGCAGGATCCTGCAGGATCTTGCACCCGAGCCAGGGTCAATACGACCCTGGCTCTGCAGGATCCTGCAAGATCCAGCGCTCTGCCTGACCCCCCCTTGTCCATTGGCCCCCGTCTCTTGAGCCCAGGCATGGCGACGAAGCCCCAAACCCGGGCACAGGCACGCCCGCCGCGAGAGGCGCCAAGCGGCCCCGCCGAGAGCAGCACCCGACCCCGCCAGCAGAGAGTGCGCACGCTGCGGGGAGGGCACACCACCTGGCCCGCGGACGAAGCGACGGCCCGAGTCGGTAAGGCGGATGCGGGGCGCGCGGAGGGAGGGAGGGAGGGAGGGAGGGAGGGAGGGAGGGAGGGAGGAAGGGGATAGGGAGGAGGAGGAGGAGGAGGAGGAGGAGGAGGACCAGTGCAAACCCAAGACTCATCAACGATGTAGGAAAAAACACCCTCTCCCAAAGCTCCCTTTTTTTCACGGGCCCATGTAAGGATTCATTTATACTGAGGGAAGCGCCCCGCTGGGAGACAACCGTTTGAAGATCCTGAAGCGGGCCAAAAAGACCATGCTCGGAACTTCAGCGCCGCTAATCAACTTGACTGTTGCGTCCTGACGGTCCCGAGTTCTGCCAGAACGCCGTTCCTGGGACGTCAGCACCGCGAATCAACGTAACTGTTGCGCCCTGGCAGTCGTGATCGCTCCAAGCGACCATTTCTGATGCGTTATCCATGGGAAATCCGTGAAACGTTCTGCAATGTTTGAAAACGATTGCGCGCGGCAGTGATGCGGGAACCCCCTTTTGAAAAGGAACCGGCCTCAATCCGTGGAAATATTGCAAATGTCTGAAACGAATGTGCGCGGCGCTATGGCGAGAGCCACATTGTGAAAACCACCCGCCCTTTAAATGTGAAACTGCTGTCATCTGTTTGAGCTTCAGAGCCATGGGTGGTGAGGACGTCGCAGGCGAAACGCCAGACCCGCCCTGTCGATCAGCCTCGGGGTGCGACAGGGATTAACTATTTATAAGGAAATGGAATGGAGGAATGGTAGAGGAGGAAGAGGAGGAGGCACAGCGTGCGGAGAAGTCCACGTCAGACCAATGGCAACTACCGATGCTGCTGCCTCCTCGGAATCCGCATGGCCAGAGCTGTCGCCTGTACCTGTCCACGGGCTTCCCTGGGCGTGAGGGCGCGGGTCGCAGAGCGGGTAAGGGGCGCAAGCAAGCGTTACCCATGGAAGAAACCGGCGCAACACCGAAGATCCTCCCCCACAAGGCTGCGACGACGCAGCCGATCCGCTGGCGGTGTCTGGCGGGTGGCAAGGGATTGTAAAGCCAACTCGCAATATGCTATGAAATCGAATGGGAACGTGTGTCGGGAGGTGGGGAGCATGGTGTTTGCAAAGGTGTACGTTTAGGTTGCGCCTTGAGTATGCGAAATCTTACCACACCGTTGCGATTCTATGTGCGCTCCTGATGCTCACAGGCGAAACGAACGCGTGACAGTGAGTTGCAAAGACAAACGCGCACGCACATGCACGATTGTCAAGATATGAGCCCGTCCCAAGCCCACCCGCGCATACCAGACTCAAGAGGCGCTGAGCGGCGCACAAGACCGCACAGTCGAAGCAAACGCTAGACACATAGTTTCGGCACCCCTCTGGCAATCCTGACCCGAAGACAGCGGGTCTATGGGAGGGCGAGTCGGAGAAGCTCGTCCTCTTTCCTATCTTAGCCCTGGTCCCGCAGAGCAAGAGTCAGCAAGAATGGAGACGAGGAGGGGGGAGGCGAGGGCGGAGGAGAGGTAGAAAGAAGAGGAGGACGAGGCGGAGGAGGAAGGGAAGGAGGAAGAGAAGGGAAAAGAGGAGGAGGATGAGGAACAGGATAGCGATGCATCTCTGCCAATTCCCCACTGGCGGCGATCCCCCGCCGATCTCAAGTCAAAACGCACCGTCGAGGGGGCCTCGCCACTGAGAATCACAAGCGTTATTGGCGTCTTGGCCCCAGGAACGCTTTTCACGACGAATCCAAAACACCCTGCGGCACTGCGTAAAACATTCGTATCGCTGTGACTTCCGTGTGGGTCACCAGTGACCTCCAGGGCCCCTCTCGACGGTCCCCCGCAGGCTCGCCTAGGCAGCCTGCGCGCTCTGCTTGGCAAGCTTCTTCTTGAGCTTGCCGTCCCCAGCGCCGACGCTCGCGCCCGAGGTCGACTCAGGAGCGGCCGCCGCCACCGTCGTCGTGTCCTCGGCGCAAGCCTCGCCGCACTTGCTGCGGAGCTCGACGGGCAGCTTGTCGAGGCCGACCTTCAGGAAGCTCTGCGTGCACTTGAGTGCAGAGCCGAGTGGGTTCTTAGCGCCCTTGCCCTCGTTCTTCCCTGCGTGAGGGTCCGCCATGTGTTTCACCACGGCAGATGTCACGACGTTCATGGCAGCGATCTCGGCCGTCTCTTTCAAGATCGCCTGGTGCTCCACCAGGCGGTCGACGAACGCCCGAACCCTCTCGTAGACGCCGCCCTTCGCGAAACTCATGATCGTGCTGACGGTCTCCGCTGTGTTCTTCCAGGTCGGGTACTGAACGACGAGCCCGTCGATCTGCCGCATGGTGGCGGCCTTCGTAGCGTCATCCACGCTGATCCACGGCGTGCCTGAAAAGTCCCAGGTGGTGATGGCATGCTTGATCTTGCCGAAGTCCTTGACGAACGATTCCGTGATGTCCAGCACCTTTGCCTTGGCCTCCATGGAATCGCACAGACGCGTCCACTCACCCATGATCAACTTCCACTTATCGTCGAAAGACGCGTACCGTTGGAACAACTCGGGGCACTTTGATTTTGCATGGTTCAGATCGCGGAGGACGTTGGAAACCTCGACCAATCCGCCCGCGAACTTGCCAGAGGTAATCTTGATGACGGTATCGGCGCACATCTGCAGCACGATGCCACCCTTCGCCAGGTCCCCAGCTCCAGACGGAAGAACGCTGCCCGAGTTCAGCAACTGCCCGATATCCTTGTGTTTGGCTGGGTCTGCAGCCACGAAGGTGACCATATATGACATCATGATATCACCAAGGCTCGTCACGTCGTCCAGCTGCTTGGCGATAGTGATCAAGCCCTTGCCCTCAGAGCGATCCCACGCCATGTTCGCGGGCGACATGGCCCCTACCTTGAGAGAAATCTCCCTCTGCAGCACCTTTGAGAACGCCGCCAGCGCGTCACCGAACTTGGCCGTCGAGCCCGCCGCAGGCGACGCGATGGAGCACAGGTCGATCAATATGCGAATCTTCTGCTGGACGTACGCAAGAAGCGCGGGCTTGTTCGGCCAGACGGTCACGATCATATCGATAAGTGAGCCAATCCACCTTAGATCCTCACAGTCGAACTGCTCGTCCTGCGAAGACGGGGTCTGGCATTCGACAGCTGCCGACCTGGCAAAAGAGTGGAGTCTAGAATGGGCCTCCATCACTGCATTGGCATTGGCCATTGACAAGTCGAATACGCGGAGCAAGGCCGATGCAATATCCTCAGTCATCTTCCTCTTGGCAGCATCGCCTTTGTCGTCGGCCTCAGCCGAGCCCGCTTCGGAGTTGCAGTAGACAGACCCGAGCGCATCCAGCAGGTCCTTGTGGTCGTTGTAGACGTCGACAACGGCCTACAGTGCGAGGAAATCAAAGCACCAACAAACTCTCAATTTTGCCGCCTCGCATCCCCATCCTGCCGCATCCGCCTCATCGGCTCGTCCGTTCTATTGCTCCTCATCCTGTGTCATCGTGCGTCTTACTCTGATCGCCATCGTCATGATACGTGGTCGTGGTCAGTGTTCGCGTCGGCCCCAGGTCCCCACGGCGGCACGCAAGACCCTCCAACAGGGCACTAAGGGCGCCTTTAGGGGGCACAGTAAGACCTCGGCGACGAGGAGGGACCCACTGTAAACATCTGCCACGCGTCCCCTGCCCCTGGGAAGGCCAGAGGGCACGCTCACTAGGGCCCGAACAAACGCTCCCCTAGCACATGGCCGGCACCAAAAATGCCCCAAGAAGGCCTCGCAAGGCCTCGGCGACAACGAGAAAACATTCCCGAACTATCTAATATCACCACCCTTCCCTGGGAGAGACCCTCGGAGGGAACCCTAGGGCCTACCCCAAGGGGAGCTGATGAGACGGTCGCGATGGAGGGAAAGCGCGCAACACGCTGACCTGATCATCTCGCCCCCCCTTCCCCCGAGGACCCCCGCGCCAGCCCGTGACGGGGCCTCGTAGCAGGCGTCCCAGGAGCCCACCTCGAGCGCGAGCGCGGTCTCCAGCGTGCCCTTCACCTGCTGCATCTTCTCGGCGTCGATGTGCTTACATTTGTCGGTCATCTCCTTGGCCTCAGCATGAATCTGCAGCATGCGATCCCAAGCTTGGCGCCCATGCTGCACCTGAGCGCCGCAAATTTGGCGAAAGTGAGCTCGCAGACGGGGGCTCAGTCTATTCTTGCATTCCACCATGGCGCAGATCTTGGAGACCGTGTCGCGGGGCAGCGTCGATTCGGAAAGGCTGGCTTCGAGGTATTTCCCCATCAGAAGGATGCAGCACATGTCGATCTTCGGCTGAGCGAACCAGGATTCATCATC